TCTGCTGGAGACGGTCTCCAGCAGACCAGGGGCACCGGAGCAGCTTACGAACGGGGCTTTCTCGCCCCGGAGCTCGCAGGTAGCAATCCGCCACCTCGACCTCCGGGGCGAGAGAGCCCCGTTCGTAAGTGCGGATCCGACGTAAGTCGGATCCGCGTAAGTCGGGGACTGCCTGTACTCTGGGGACAAAACTAATGGGCTAGCTGATAGAAAAGCTAATGTTGCAGAAAATACAGTACCCAGGCTAACTTTTAATATTTAAAATACTTTATTCTTGAACTGTCCCTTCCTTTGCTATCAAGTTCCTCTCCTTGCTGTTTGTGTTTGGCAAAATCTTGCAAGACATCTGATGCACCCACACTGATCAGTCTTGATGTGCTTGTGTGCATTTTTCTGGTTGTAGTTTGTCCTAATGTGTGTAGAAGGTGAGCAGTAACTGTTGTGTAGTGCATGAATCTTTGTGAAATTCAGAGGAAACCCAATTTCAGTGAATGCCAAAAAAATGCAAGTAATTAGCCATTGTTTAAAATTTCAGTGGTGCTATTTCTTTTGTGGCCTTCTAGACTTTTCTTGCCCTAAAATTCCGTTTTACTGAGAATCCATATTCCATCTGGAGTTTTCTTGACAGGGTTTTTTTCTACTTTAAGCAGTTTCTAAATAAAGTTCTGTATTTCAAGAGTGTCATGTTTGCCTGGAGTCTGTCATGTTCTTGGGGATATGATTAGACTGAGCAAAAGATCCTGGTATCTTCAGTCTGAAGCTATACAACCTGTAACATCGGCCTTTCTCCTCAAATCATAGCTCTGTTCTTTGCTCAAATTCCTGCTGCATTGATTTTCCTTGGGGCTCCCCTCTATTCTGTTGGGAGAGACCTGCATGTGGTGTGTTAGGCTTAAAGTCAGTAGAAAGCATAGCTACCCTGTAGACTTCCCCTTCCATGGATGTCATGTAGTGGTGCAGTGAAGCAACCACAGTTGATCAGTTTCTCTGCATTTGTCTTGTGAAGTCTAATGCACTGCATTACTAGAGCACCAAAGTTGAGCCATGTTTTTGATCTTTAGATTGTCACCAGCCTTTCTGAGCAGCCATCCTCTTGTAATTTAGTCATCTTCATTTGTCCTAAGTTTTGTGTGCCAAGTCTTAATGTTAGACTTGCACTGACCCAAGAACTAGCTTCTGCAGAAACAAATGCTAAGCAAAGGAATGCCTAGCATGCTAAAAGCTCTGATAAATCACCAAAAGTCTTGCCAGTATTCATGTTGGTAAACTTTGAAATGGTCCTTAGAGATCTTATCCTAAGAAATAATCATTGCTGGCAACAAAACTAGTACTGCAGTGTGAAAGTGCATTGGTAAAATGGGGCTTTGATGCACATAAAATCTCTCATTACTTATTTGGTATGACTACAAAATCTTACTCTTTCTGATAACTGTATATGTTACTCTTAGACTTTCTGTATTCTCAAGGTCAGTAGCAAGATGAGGTTTGTCTGACCTGCCATGGGAAATTAGTTTTGTAGGCTTTTCACATTTTGTGTAGGGTCAGCTGCATGCTATGCATCATTGTAGCTTTACTTCTGCACTGCAAGAGCAAGGATGGGTCCATGTTTATAATGACCCTAGATGAGTTGCACTGTGATCCATTTGACCTCTGCTTCTGCAAAAAGCAAACAGATCTCTTAAGCTGAAGGGGAAGAAATGATGGGAGTCATAGAAATACTGCTGGTGCTCCTTGACTATAAAACAGTCAAATCTGGAATTGGTCTGCACAACACAATGCAGAAACTTTGTCATGCAGGTCAAACTCCTGTGAAATTCCAGTTTGCTGCATTTCCTAATATACCAAGAAGTGACAAGTCATAAATAGAACTGGGGAAATTCATAATTTATTTACAAGTCTGTATCATAGACTTTTTTAGGTAGTTTTTTTTATAATTTTCTTGTTGGAAAGGAAATTACCAGAATAAACTTAAAACTCAAGTGGCTACTCTGCTGACCTGGTACAGTATTTGTTGAGTAGATGTTAAGTGCTTTCTTGACATCCAACCTTTCTTAGATTTAACTTTCAGTTTTCTGAAACAAAATGGAACAACCAAAAGCTTGTATCTGTCTTTCTGTACCCAATGTGTCTTACAGGTGTGCACTCAAGATTTTTTTAACTTAATTGTTCAATCTTTTCAAGATTCCTGGTTTTCAATGACCGTTCCTTGTGTAACTCTTAAAAGGCTCCAAATAAAGGCCAAGAATTTACATCACTAATTTGTCTATTAATGTTTAATGTGACCACTGTTGCATTGATAAATGATGCCTTGTTTTTCTTTTGATGTTAGCACTCTCACACTTATAGAATTTGTCTGAAGTTGACCTAGTACTTGGGGATCCTCTTAGCCTGGTGATTTGAACACTTCTGGGAGTTAGAAACTATTTCTGATCATAGCTCTCTCCAACCTCTACTGTGCTTACTAAAATGGTGCTCCATCTCCGAGGATTAGCTGAGAATTGTTTCCAGTGTGTTCTGACAGCAACTATAAGCCTTAAGAACCCAATTTAAAGAGATAAGGCATTAGGCGATACTGTATGAATTTGAGATTAGTAATGACAATTATGCAGCTCTTCCCATCATTAGTGTAAACAACTCCTCTACACTTGTGCAATTAAAAGAATTTGGCCTGTTATGGGGGGAACTTACACTCTTGTTGAACTGCTACAGCAGTGAAGGCATAATGTGTGACTACTGACATTTTCTAATACTGCCCACGCATGGTCTGCAGTACATCTACTCAGGCAGAATGGGGCTCTTAGACTGATGCCTACCATGTGGATTATGGTGCTGTGATACGGAGCCGAGGATGACCGCAACTCATCTAATCATTGAAAGGTAAACTTTGTTTTTGGAAATGACTTGACTTTCCAGATCAGCTTCATTACATGGTCACAAAAGATGGCAGCAGTTTGCTTGTAGCTAAGACCAAACTGTAGTCTTAAGTCAGACCTAAATAAACTGGTGTGGGTTCCAGAGCAGCATAGCTCTGGTGTGATGCTTTAAGCTTAGAATTTCCAGGTGTAAAATCATGGATGAGATTTTTTCCATCTTCGCTTTTTCTTACAAGTTGGATGGTGTAATGGATTAAAACAATTAATTCTTTGAGCTCAGTCTGTGAAAACGTAATTTTTCCTTTTGCAGACTATCGTTAGGTTTTGGTGTATGAGCATTTGAATGGACTTTATGCCTGAGCTCTTGTCCAGAAAAATCATGTGGTGGTAGAGGATCCCTTATGGCCTGTGTGCATTCTTCTGCTTTTCTCCCTTCCCAGATGATTGGACTCTTCTCAGGATAAGGGTAGTGACTATGTCTTGCTCTCCCTGTGTTATGGTGGAAGAATTTTTGGGAGACAGGTAGTCTGGCAGCACTTCTTGCTTGTTAACTTCCATCCTAATTTTACAGAAATGGTTCCCTGTTCCATTGGTGCTTGGAGGGGCCCATGACTGGATTCTGCAGCCACTTGTATTGGGTGGGGTAGCTTCTGCCAGCTGTGATGAGCAAATAGAAGGTTCTCTGCTTCTTTTACTACAGTGGTGTACTCCTATGAAAAGTCTCTGTGCTGGTTTTGGATGGGTCTAGTGTGCACTTTGCCCCTGGCATTCTAGCTTTCTTATGGGCTTCATTTCCTTATTCTTACTGGGGAACCTTGATGATCTTACCCTGAGAGGGGAAGGCTTGATGTTAGGGGTCTTCTGGCGATGCTACTGTTCAATTAGGATCAATTAGCCCCTTGGTCTCTCAACTGTGCAGTTCTCCTAGTGTGTGTTGAAAGTTTAGGATACAAACAGTGTCATAACGAAGAGAGCTGACCAGCACCTGGAGATTAAGGGGTTAACTATGTCTCCTGTACCTAGCCAGGTATTGGGTGGTATGCCAATAACAATACAGGTAGGAGTTTCAAACTGGGACAAAGGAGTCTTTCCCTCCTTTGTCTGAAAAGCAGAGTGATTTCTTCCAAGACTGAAGGAGATGGGAGGCCTGTCTCTCTTCAAGAATAGACTTCTCGCAATGTGTAAGTAGGGCAAAGTTTAGATTTATTGTTTTCCTTGTTTGGAAATTTGGAATGAACGTCTGAGTTAAGGGTGGTTTTTTCCCTCTTTGTAACGAAAGCTGTTTTTTTCAAAACACTTTTTTGGGTGGGGGGGGGGGGGGGTCTCCCTGAGTATCTAAATCAATTGGTGGCTCTTTCCATCTAGCCCCTTTACTGTGCTTGCAACTGTAGTTTTGTTTTGATGATAAGTTTGTTTTCTTTTTTCTAATTTAATTGGTACTGGTTTACTTTTGTGTCTTGAAATGTCTGTCTCTGGGTCCCCTCTGTTTTTCCCAACTCCAAGCAAAATGGAGGCTGGGGTAAGGGGAAAGCTTCACCTTAGGGAAGAAACTTCCCAAGTGATCTCTTCCCTGATTTTTTCATGGAATTTCTTGGGTGGTGACAGCAGATTCCCCAAAGTCCGTGTATTAGGATTTTGGGGGGAAGTTTTTGTACCAAATCCTGTACACAAGGTTTTGGGGTGTTCTTGCAGGCTCCCACTTCTGTTTTTGTCATGCCACAGTGGGGAACAGCTTTGACAAGTTTAGGATACAAACACTTTTACAAGCCAATCAGCTTTCAGGGTTCATTCATAAGAGTAGTTTGGCCCAGCATGGGCAGTGGACAGGACATTTTTGATAGAAGCTGGTGCCAGATACTTCACAGGGAATGAATAGAACATAGATATTCAACAGAGTGGTCCATCCAGGTCACTCAGTCCCAGTTTCTGGCAGTTGGGAGTTTCAGGATATCCGGAGCATGGTGTTCTATCCCTGACCATGTTGGCCAATAGCCATTGATGGAACCCGCTATGATCATATCTAGTTGTTTGAACCTTGTTATATTTTTTTTGCCTTGACAGCATCCACTGGCAATGAGTTCCACAGTTTTTTTTGTGTGAAATATGTTTGTGTTAAATCTGCAGCTTATTAATTTAATTGGGTGATCCCCCTCATTCTTGTGTTCTATGAAGTTATGAATGTTTTCTCTCCCTTCCCCCAGCCCCAATCACTTTTTTCCCCTAAGCACAATGCTTCCAGTAAGGATTCTGTTTTATGCCCTTAATTACTTCTCACCCTTCTCTGAATCTTTCTCATTCTAATATATGGCCATTCTAATATGCGAAAGAATGCGGTGAAGGCTAGAACTTTAACAGGGCTCAAAAAAGAGCTAGCTAGATTCATGGAGGTTAGGTCCATCAATGACTATTAGCCAGGATGGGTAGGAATGGGTATCCCTAGCCTCTGTTTCTCTGCAAGTGGGAGCCGGGGGTGGGGGGGTTGGGGGGGGAAGATCACATGAGGATTACCTGTTGTGATCACGCCCTCTGGGGCATTTGGTATTGGCCACTGTCAGCAGACAGAGTACGGGGCTAGATGAACCTTTGGTCTGACCCAGTCTGGCTCTTCTTATGTTTATGTTCTTATATCCTTTTTGAGGTGGGGAAAACCAGACCTTTTCAACCATTCTTCTATATTTGCTTTTTTGATTGCTGCTGTACATTGATCAGATGTTTTCAGAGAGTGGTAAGTACTCATTTTAGAGGCTATCATTTTGTAGATGGTGTTGGGGTTATTTTCTGTGTGCAGTCTTTGCATTTATCAGTACTGAATTTCATCTGCTGACTTGCAGTCAGTAGCTGCTCAGGATAGTAGTTTTGTTTTATCTGAACTTTTCCAACTTACTGTTTACCTCCTTTCCCAGCTTCTTCATGAGTATGTTGAACAGTACGTATTTGACTGCTGGAGAGAACCTGGACAAAGTCTCTAGGTTTCATATTAGACAAGGGAACAGGATGTTTAAAACTCACTTTGGAGCCCCCCTATTTCATTCACATAGCTGAATGAATAGTTGGAAGAACAAAATCATTTGATAAAAAGATAAGGATATTGAATCTTTATCTAAATACTAAGCACTTCCAGTGCACAACACTGCATTGTCCAAGAAATGCTTCAACCAATACCGCTACACAGCTAACTTTAACCTTCCTGACATTAAGATGGGGGAGGGGGGAAAGGGGAGGAACTTTTGGTTTAGGGCTGAAGCAGTCACCTTATTTCTACATCGTATAGAAGCAAAATATTGGTACAACCCCATTCTTTCTCTGCAGGCCATAATTAAGAGATCTGGAAGACACTTGCGTTTGTCAGACAGCCTTGTCCTCTTTAAAGGGATTTTTTTCTCAGCTTAGTAAGCTTGGCTCGCTTTCAAACAGCAGCCTTTTAAAAATGTGGCTGACCTGTCAGGAAATGTAGAAAACAGGAACTGTGTGTGGTTGTGTTCTTGCAAAAAAAAAAAAAAAAAAGCAAGGCCCTGGACGAGCGGTGTCCTTTTGCAAAATAATTTCATAAACTGATTGCCTCTTACTCTTCAGGATCTGTCTGCATCTACTGCTGTTCTGATGGGGAAATATAGGTTGGACCTCCCTGGTCCAGCACCCTTGGGACCTGAGCTATTCCGGACCAGGGAGTTTGTTGGACTGGGGGAGGCCAGTGCTTCCCTGCTGGCTGCCCCGCTCCAGGGCTCCTCTCCTTGGGGCTCCCTGCACCACTACAGCTAGCCCAGCATGGCTCCCCACTCTGCCAGCCCTGCTGCCACAGGGTGTTCCCTGGAGTTCCTGGCTGGGGCCACCCAGCTGCTGCCGGTCCTGCTGCTGCTGGAGGTTCCCCAGCCAGGGCCACCCAGCCACCCCACCCTGCTGCCACAGGGGATTTTGTAGTTTCCCTGGCTGGGGCCACCCACCTCTGCCAGCCCTGCTTCAACCGGGGGGGGGAGGGAGGTGTTTCCTGCCGGCGGCCGCCCAATCACCCTGGCCCTGCTTCCACCGGGCTTGGTTCAGCAACATCTGTGGTTCTACTGGACTACGGATGTTGCCAGACCAGAGTCTCCCAGATTTGGGAGTTTCAATCTGCACAAGAAAAGGCTCATCCAGCACACTTTAAATAATGTGGGATGACCTTGACATAGGTCTCAATATAACCTCGACTGAAATGGAGGGGATGACTGAAGTGTGATCCTTCCAAAAATCTACATACAAACCTCATTGCAACTTGGCTTTCTCTGTCGCCTCATCACTGGGAGGAAAGGGGTGGATTTAATGACAGACCAATGGGCATTCTGATTGTGGATCCAATGCAGAGATTGCTCTCCTAACAGAGCTCGAAACAGGTGGGAAAAGGAAGCCATAAATCCCTGGTAATGGCCTCTATGTTCCTCTTGTGTTCTGCAGAGCCTTTAGAGCCCCTGCCTCAAGTCATCTGTAGCATATGTGGCCGCGTTCTTTATGGAGCAGTTATGGACTCTCTCCTCCTCAGCTGCTGAGAGGGGGAAGAGAGAAATGGGCTGATCTGGAGCTTTTTGGCAGGGAGACTTCCACCCAATCTTTCTAAGGAAGAGAACCCTTCCATGGGTGGCTGGGGAAAGCAGTCTGTCTTCAGTTCTGTGGATGATGTCACAAATCCAAAGGTGACATCATAGTGGAGTTTGCAGATGGCCTGGGGCTGGAAGTCCCCAGTGGACATGCAGTAGGAACCGGGAGAACATGTCTACTTCTGAGAAGCTGGGCAGATTTTTGGTCTCGGAGACTCCCAGGGTCAGTGTTCATCCCTCTGTGGCCTGGTGAGTAATGGAAGACAGGAGACCTACAGAACTTTGCTTCTCACAATATCTAGTTGATTTAGGGCAGGCATGTCCAAAGTCCGGCCCGCGGGCCAATTGCGGCCCGTGTTCCGGTTTAATACGGCCCCACAGGTAATTTGGCAATATCTATCTTTTATGGCCCCCAACGAATCCATATGTATTGAGATGAATACATTGTAAAATCTCAGTTAATGTCAGTTGGTCTAAATCAGTTATAAATATATTTGGACACAACATGTATACTTGGTGTTATGTTCCTGTTCATATTTTTTGAACTTAAAAGTTGACAGACAACCTTTATTACCAATAATATGTAATGTACTTTACAATGTTCCTGACATATATTTCAGCTTCCTGGATTTTTTTTTTATCTGGCCTTCAGATATGAAAGGCAGAGTGATTTAACACCTGTTTAGATTTGTCGTCCATGTGACGAAATGAAAAGTATGCCGTTTGCAATAAACTTTGCATAAAATAGTTAATTTGCGTTTAATGTTAATGGTTCAAAGAATGTCAGGCAAAATGGTCGGCCCTCACGCATGTTCACTTCATAAAATCTGGCCCTCTTTGAAAAAAGTTTGGACACCCCCTGATTTAGGGCTTTGTCTGAACCACCCTCCATCCTAGTAACCCCTCCTCTTTCTCCATCTGGCCTCCTGCTAGGATGTGTAGTGAGTTAATGTTAGGCCACTGCCATCCTGCCCTAGTTTTTCCATCTACAAAATGGGAATAAAAATGTATCTACCTTTTTGGGAAATTGTGAAAGTTAATTCAAGCTTGTAAAATGTTTAAAGATCTGCCCATGCTGCTCTTGTTGACTTATCTGGGCTCTAAGAGCTGCATCTGTCTGAAAATTAGGCCTTAAATGACTTCGGTTCAAGGCCAAGGTGCTTAGCATCTTCTCATGATCAAAGCCTTCTGTAGCTACAGTCCTAAGGTGTGAGTCCAGGATAACATAGCTCTGCAGTGAGAATGACTCCTACTGCCATACCTAAATCAGCATAGAGATTGTCATGTGCCACCTCAGGTTATGTTACTGCACCTTAACACCTGGCTGATGGGGTCAGTCACAAAAGACCCCTTGGGATTGTTCCCTGGTGTGCTGATCACGCCACTGACATCTGCTTTCTTGTTTTCTGGGGCTCCCCACAACCTTGTCCTGCTTGACCAGATCTTCTGGTCTTCCCCCAGACAAGGCACAGTTGGGATTACCACCTCCTGCAGACAAACACACCCAATGAACCACTTCAGCTATGGGAGAATGCAGGCCTGGGGCACAGCACACAAGAAACTAACCTCCAAAAGGGATCAAGCCCCCAAACACATCCATCTTTCTGTGTGTAAGTTTTACACAAGGAAAACTCATGAGGACGTTTGCCCTCAATGAAAGAACGATGCACACGGCCTGTTCCAGATAGCAATTATTTACAGGGGGCCTGATAATAAACACAAGTATTTTTATTCAGTACAAACAGTAGGATTAAGTGGTTGCAAGTGAGAACAGACAGATCAAAGTAAGTTACTAAGTTAAAATGAATTGCAACTAGCTCGGCTTCCTTGTCACTAAAAGGCTGCATCTAGACTGGCATGATTTTGCGCAAATACTTTTAACAGAAAAACTTTTCCATTAAGTATTTGCGCATGAGAGCGTCTAGACTGGCATGTGCCTTTGCATAAAAGATTTGCTTTTGCGCAAAAGCATCCGTGCCACTGTAGACGCTCTCTTGCGCAAGAAAGCTCCGATGGCCATTTTAGCCATCGGGCTTTCTTGCGCAAGAAATTAACATTGCTGTTTACACTGGCCCTCTTGCGCAAGAATACTCACACAAGAGGGCTTATCCCTGAGCGGGAGCGTCAGTATTTGCACAAGAACCACTGATTTTGTACATTACAAAGTCAGTGTTCTTGCACAAATACTCGCAGCCAGTGTAGACAGGCGGCAAAATCATGCCAGTCTAGACGCACCCAAAGACTTCAAGTAGATTCTTAGCCTAAAGAGTTGTTCTTATTTCAGTTATAATCGTCAGCTCAGAGACTTTTACCCTAGCCTGGCTCTTCAGCCCATTGCATCCTTTCAGGGTTTTCTAGGTCAGCTGAAGACAAAGGGCTGATAGCTTCCCACCACTTAAATCGGGTGGGGAACCTGTTTTCGGTCAGGAGCCACTGTGTCGTCGTCCCCCCCCCCTAAAAATCAGAGGGCTACACACACAAAACCCTCACGGCCGTGACCCCCACAGGAGGAGAGGAAAGGCATTCCCCTTGCATGCCAGAGCCTGGGGGGGCTAGCCTAGTAGATTTTGTGTGCTGCAATCTTGCAATTACAGTATGGGCAGGAAAACCTACTTGCTGATGTGGCCTCTGACCGAGGATGAGAGTTTCGGAGGGGGAGCCGTGTTGGTCTGTAGCTGGAAAAATGTAACACACAGCCCTGCAGCACCTTAGAGCCGAACAAAGGACGTAGCTGGGGTCATGAGCTTTTGCAGGTGCAACTCACTACTTCAGTTGACTGGAGTTTGAGGTGGAGAAAGACTGTCCCTCCATTCCTCTTGCACATCTGAGCCCAGGGAGGCCCAACTTAGAGTTTGTGCACTCCAGCCCTGCCTCTGTATTGGACAGAGCAGCTGCCTCTGGGTACTTAATGGCAAAAGCCATCGCCACTAAGCTGTACCTATTCCCCCTGCAAGTGAAATGCAGCATTGGGTCCACGATGCTGTCGAAGCAAAAACATGCTGCTTTTTTACATTTTTTTTTTTTACAGTTTTTTACATTTAGATGCATTTGTATTTATTGTTTAGTTTCCATGGGTTTTTATTAAGTGACGCTGCCCTAAGACACCCGGCACTTAATATCAGACTTTATTAGGATTTTATACCAGAAGGCTTTTATTATAAAGGCACTGGAATTCCTGTAGACTGACCTACCCCCATTTTCTGCGCATGCTTAATTCTGTAAGGCACCGAACTAAAAGTCCACCTGCTTACACCTTCTGCAAGTCACCGAATCAGAATCCGCCTGCTCGCTCTGTTCCCCCCCCTTTTTGTTGCGAGGCACTGGACTCAAGGTCCACCTGGCTCGCAGGGATTTCCGGCACCCGTCCCAGCCCGGCAGAACACCACGTCCTGGCGCCTGGAGACAGCCTGGCGGAATGGGGTACTATGGCCTGGGGTTAGCCTCAGAGGTCAGTACTACGCCCACAAATAATAGAGTGAGACGACAAAGCTTCCCTACAGTTCCGTGTGCCGAGAGAGAGAAATGGCACCACACCAGCTTTTAGCGTCCGAACACAGAGGGTCCAGCGCATGGCTGCCTCACTAGAGACACCGGTGTGCCCTTTTGGAACTGTGACACATAAGACAGGCCTAATAGACAAAGACAGACAAACAAATGCTAGCCGCTCCACAAAATTGAATTCCGTAGCTCCTCTTACCCCGATGGCTGGCCGTCACTCCAAATCCTAAGCCCTTACCAGGAGATTTTTATAACAGGTATCTCCTTACCTTCTATTGAGCGCTCTGAGAGGTTTGGAAGTGGAGTGCCGGTCCGTCCATATGGGCAAGTGGCGCGTTAGGAATCTCGGTGGAACCTCCAAATTGTCGAAGCAAAAACACGCTCCTCTGTGTTTAGGCAGCTAACAAACAGCTTTATTAATTAATAAAGCACAGCATGAGCCAAACATGGTCCCAGCAAAGCCGGGCTCAGTAAAGCTGCTAATACAATCAATCCTAGTATCGTTATACCCTTAGCCAAACAGTCTGACGTCAGGGCATTCAATTACAGAAATCCTCAATTAAATTTGGAAAAACAAAGCCTTATTAACAAGATGGCGGACAGGTACGAGGGAGTACATCTCTTGTCCCAACCAGCCCAATTAACACATACCAATAGCCCATCCTGTAGGCCTCTTCTCATGGGGTGACAAAGTTTACTTTGGTTTACGTGCTTGAGAGAAAAGCTGAAATGGTTTCTGATATACAAGATGGCTTCTAGCTAAACATAAAATAGCTTCTACAAAGAACGCCCTTTGCCACGCTTAGGAAGGGCTTTTGTCTGTCAGGCCTCACCTCGTTAAGGCTGGGGGCACCAGTAATGGCTCTCATTAGCACGTTTAAAACAATAAACAATATCGTATTGTGCATGCACCAAAACAGGAGATACAGATCCAGCCGATCGAAATGTTAAAATGGATAGGTTATATGAGGTATTTTGTTTAAAGCATCTTCGAGTTATGCATATTTATATTCGTAAGCCAAACTTCATAAAGCATGGGGGTAGGGGAAACCGTCACAACATGAGTAGCCGTTTAAGGGTTGAAAGGCTTACAGCCTTAATATCTACACCCAAAGCAAATACAGCCACATTTTATCTGTTTAACATTTCAGGGTGGACAATGAACCTGAAGATAAAGGAAGCCTTAAACAGGATCAAATGGGGCAAAAGGTAAATGAGCAGTAATGGTACTGATGGACACTGGGTATGCCTACGCTACAGAGGTTTTGGTTTTTTTTCCCGGAAAAATGGCTGGTTTTACGTCCACACAGCAATTGTGTTCTTTTGAAAGAAAATCGAAAGAACAGAGGTTTTTCCAACATTGGTAAACCTCTTTCTATGAGGAGGAAGCCTTTTTCCAAAAGAGATCTTTTGGAAAAAGACATGTGTGGATGGGGAGGGAGTTCTTTTGAAAAGTGGAAAAAGCACAGGTGCCCTGGTGGCCATTCCTCCCATAGTAATCACAGCTTCCATGTGAGAGAGCTTCCATTCAGTCTGCTTTGGCAGCGTGGACTCTCTCTTTCAGAGGAAGTTTTTTCAGAAGATCTCTTCCGGAAAACTACTTCCAAAAGAAGCCTGCAGTTTAGACATAGCCAGTGTGATATAAAAAATGGCTGTTATCAATTGTTCCTAAAAGGCAAATGAAGCAGGATTGATGTGTGTATTATTTTCTTAACCGTACACACCAGTATTTTGGAAGGTTGAATGATATCCCTGCTTCTTTCAAGTTCAGTATTTTGTCACCTTTCATATATGCATCCAGTTATATTTTTTCCTTGGATTTAAATGCCAATAAAAACTGCTGGCCAGGATCAATTTTTTTAAAAAGCTAGTTTTAATGTTTGTACATTTACCTGATGACATCAGATGGGGAAGGGAAATATTTTGTTTTAAGGCTGAACTTACGACTGTGCTCTTACTTTGAAACGACAATGTGCCTTGTTCATGGCTGCTTTGGGCTGAATTCTATGCAGATGCTGAGCGGGTGCAGAAATTGTTCTACACCCCCACCCCCTTCATGAAAAAATACCTGGGTCAAAATGGAATCCCAGTACCAGGTGATATGGTCACATGTCTTCCTAGGACATGCTCATTTTCTGCCTTTCCTATCCTGGACCAGCAAGGGGCCAATCCAGCTCTCATAGCACGGATTGAAACACAAGTGTTGTGCTAATTGGCAGATGGGCCAGTGCAGCAGCTGGGAACAGACAGAGCTTAGCCATCTTCAGTCATGCCTGCTTGTTCCTGGGATTGTCTGTGACACGCCCCCTTATGCTAGGATCTCCTGCAGATGATGGCAGAGAGCTAGCTTTGCCAGCTGTATCCCAGCCAGGAAAGCCCTCCATGTAAGGGAGTTAAGTGGTTGCTGTAAGTAGGATCCTAGATTTAAGTGATTTAAAATTAATTGTATTGTAGCAATGGAATGGGGCTGACGTGAGAGTTGTGGGGCATAAGACCTTGTGTGGTCTCTGCCCTGTCACGGCTTTACCCCCATTAAGGTCTGTGGGGCTATGTGATGGATAGGAGTGCTGGCCAGTGACTAGAGGGTTAAATTCAGGTAGCTAGCAGGGGTATTGGCAGGGAGCCAGAAGAACCAATGGGATACAGTGCTGAAATTTGATTTGTACATAGATACCTTGTCTGCTTTCTTTGTGAGTGAGTTAAGCCAGGAGTTGAGAGACGGAATGATTTAAACCCAGGCAGGACTACCATGCCTCCAAGGACTACAGGGGCATGGTAATGGACCGAACCACGAAGCAATCATGAGTAAATAAGGGAAAAGGTGTATTTAGTCACGACGGGGGTATTTTTCTTTCTTGTGGCTGTTTGGTTACACTTCTCTGTGTGAATCCATGCCTTCCCTCCCCTGCTCACCATTAAGCTACAGCCCTAAGAGCTATGATTTTTGTGTTATTGATCTGTTGTTCATTCTTAGTTGCTCTGTAACACCTAGCAAGCCAGTATGCTTTGAGTAGATCTTTTTATTTTGTTAATAAAATCACATTTTTGAAGGCGAAGATTTGATTCTTGTATCCTAGAAGGTAACAGGAGGAGTTTGCCTAAGACTGAGAGGTCAACTACCAAAAGACTGCAGTTTGGTTTCTCTTTTTTCCAAGCTCTCTTCTGGGACCTCTCGAGGTCCCGTCCAGTTCTAGTGTTGTATGAGTCTATGAAAAGAGCTTGGGGGTCCAAGTGATTTCTTCCTGGGTTCAAGAAGAAAGGTTTTTTTCTTTTGTTTCACTCAGTGGTAGCAGCTATTTCCCAAGGCCAGGGAATCTGTGACCTTGGAGAGCTTTTAAGCAGAAGCCTATGGAGGCGAGGTGTGGGGGTGTGGTTTTTTTTTAAGGTTTCTTGAGGGCCCCCACCTTCTGCACTCAGAGTGCCAGAGTGGGGAACAACCCTGATAGGCTACGATCAACAGTAAGGACTCATTCCATGAAGAAGAGTTTACAGGACTGGACCATCAGTTTCTAAGGTTCTTGGAGCAGGGGGCCATTTCTCTTGTTTCTCCGGATATGCTCTCATCCAGTTACTGTTCATAAGATCTCTGTTGTCCTCCTGCTCTTGCTCGAAGTAAGATACAATTAAAGAAGCCTCTCTCAGGTGTCATAAAAGCTCTGCATGTGCTAATCTTGATTCCCAACTCTCTTGTTTTTCCAGATCACTGGACTTCTGAACAGAGCTGGCTCGAGTGTCTTCTCTTCCAGGCCAGTACTGAGGTTCTCAGAACACACGGACACCTCCCGTGCACAACAAGTAGAGGATCAGATCAACTATGAGCATTTGCAGAAACTGGAGCGATTGTTCCGGGAAGCGGATTTAGACAAGAGTGGAGGTGATGAGGCCACATTTCCCAAACCACTTCACTTTCTAGATAGTCATTTACTCCTCTTGGCGAGTTGAGAGACTGACTCGCCCATGTTTGACGATAGCTTTGGGTTTCTATATAGTGAAGCAGACAGATTTCCTCTTCTGCAGTTGTTAGATGTGGGCTTCTGGCCCATAGTTCTATGGTACAGAAGTCAGGCTTAATATTCAGCAAGCTAAGAGAACAAATTTACCACTCTTTAGATTAAGTTTGGTTTAAATGGAGCGGTAAAACCACATTGCAACAGTGACACTAGTGTGCCCATAACATCTTCCAGCTGAAGCTCTTGGCTTTCTTTATGAACATGAGTTAAGTCTCTCACGCTGTCACTGTGGCACTATGAGGTTATTTTACAGATGGCACAAGATGTGTAACTAATCCGAGGTATCGCAACAGGTCAGAGTCAATGGTAAAACCCAGCTTTCCTGTTCCTAATTCTGTATTTCTCTAGATGTGTCTAGATATGAACCTTCCCCTGGGTAGGGGCTTTTTTTTCCTCACAGCTGAGTTCTTTGTTCATCGTTTGGGAAGAGATGATCTGTAGCTTGACTTTAAGAGATGCCAGTTTGAACTTCCCTGCCTAATCCTGGCTGTAGTTCTCTGAGTATTCCGAAGAGCAACCTAAGTTTAAATACTGGCTGACTTAGACATTGTCCATAGCATGTCTGAGATCTACATGTCTTGCCACTCCCAGGAGGCTGGCTTTTCTGCAATGATAAATGTGGGTTTCGTGGGATTATTTAACAGCAGACACAATAGGGTTCAAGTGACAATAGAGTAGTCTGGAAAACTTCAACTGAAATGAAAGTTAGATGAAAAACAAAAGCATTTCCCCTTATTTTCCTCCTATTTTATTTTGCCTGCTCTCCATGAAAATCTGTATGCTGGCTTTGCTCTCTTCTTTAGGCACTGAGCCAAGACCTGTAGGTAATAAAACTTGGGCTAATACTGTCTAGGGGCAAGAGCACTGATCTGAGTTGAGTTGGATTTAGACATTCTAGGAGAGTCTTAGGGGGCCTCTGTTCCAGATTCAGTTTGTAGACTTAGCACCAGACTTTCTGCCCCTATTAGGTTCCTGGCAATGTGTACAACTACCACAGATGTGCATGCAGATTGGGAAATTGCACACGTAAACTGTTAACTTAAACATTTGGCATACAATGGCATCTGTGACTTACATAGTTGCAGTAAAAACTTAAACAGCAAGTTGTCTAGCAGCACCTTAAATAGTTGCAATAAATTGCATGAGCAAATTAAATGCCCAATTCTATTTTTGTACGCACAAGTTATTGAGACATCTGCTCCCATGTTTTTTGGAGGGAGGAAAAGATAGCTTTTGATACTGAATTACCATTTTGATGTGCTCTCTTCAGTTTTTTTTTATAGATGTAATTATCTGGAAAAGTTGAAGGCTGAGTGTACTGTGCTTGTTCTCTCAGGGCTGGATGCTAAGGAATTCCGCAAGGCAATGAAGAAAATAATTGACTATATTACCGAAGAAGATATTGATATCATATTTATGAAAATTGACACGGATTGTGATGGCTCCGTGAGCTGGGTAAATCCTGCGCGCTAATCAAAGATAGCGGTGATTGTGTAGCAGTTGCACACATTTCCTGATTTATTTTTTTAATTTAGTTTTGTGTACCGTTGGGAGAAGGCAGTGGGGCCTCAGTCATTCTTGCTGTATCCCCCAGCCCCCAAGAATGTGAGAAATGAATTCTGCTCTTCTTTTCATGCCGTGCTGACGCCACTGCGCTCTCTCGCAGGAAGAGTACCTGAACTATGTACTGCGAGAGTACAGAGGGAAGGATGACATGCTAAGAAGCCAATCGCCTCTGCTGTTTCAGATACCCATGAAAACCATTCCAGTGTAAGCTCTTCGCCATCGCTCTCTGCGGAGTGATCCACATTACACCCCCTTGGGTTTCGCTTCCTGGGTTAGTGTGGTCTTGGGTAATCCTAGCCATGAAAAACGTCTCTGTGAATGAAGGTATTCAACAGCAAGGAGCAAACACGCACATCTTCCCACATGGCAGAGGCTGAATGAACTAGCCTGTAATCATTTAAGGAGCAACTGCGATTAAAAATAAGCGTGGAGGTGAAATGGCTGTTTGAGATGGAATCTGTTCAGGGCTGAATCAGTCTCCATAGGAGATTGAGTATAACTAGGGATGCGGTAGATTATTGCTGTTATGGCAACAAACCAGAGCATGAGAAACTCTCTTCTCTGGAGATCGTTTGAAAGTGCCTCTCAGACCTGCAAGTGTGATACCTCTGGGGGTTGGTGCTATGATGAATAACAGAGTGAATGTGGTGAAATATGGCTAACGTGCTTTCATCAGGCTTCATTTTGTTTGAGCTCAAATCTGCCCCAACTCCATTAGCCCCTCCACCCCATGCATCCCTCTTCCCCCTACCTGCTGTGACAGACCCAGGAGAGCTGCTACAATAGTTCGGTGGAGGGCAGCCCCACTGGGAGCTTGTTTTCTGTTTCCTAAATACGTAGCCACCATCTCTGGCAGTTTAATCAAGGTCGGCAGGCACCTGAGGTTAGTTATCAGAGGGGTAGCCGTGTTAGTCTGAATCTGCAAAGGACAACGAGAAGTCCTGGGGCACCTTCTAGACTAACAGATTTATTGGAGCATAAGCTTTTGTGGGCAAAGACCCACTTCATCAGATGCATGTAGTGTTAATTCCAGAGGCAGGTATAAATATAGCTGCTGATAGGGAGGTGGAAATTGGTGTTCACACCTCCACGTCAGCTGCTAGAAGTGGGCCTCGTCCTCCCTGACTGAATTGACCTCGTTATCGCTAGCCTTACTCTTGATTGGTACTCTTCTTATGTCTGTATATTTATACCTGCCTTTGGAATTTCCACTACATGCATCTGATGAAGTGGGTCTTTGCCCACAAAAGCTTATGCTCACTGGAAGGGACCTCGAGAGAAGGTGCCTCAGAACTTCTGTTGAGGTTATAGAATCATAGAATACTAGGACTGGAAGGGACCTCGAGAGGTCATAGAGTCCATTCGCCTGCCCTCATGGCAGGACCAAATACTGTCTAGACCATCCCTGCTAGACATTTATCTAACCTGCTCTTAAATATTTCCAGAGATGGGGATTCTACAACCTCCCTAGGCAATTTATTCCAGTGTTTGACCACCCTGACAGTTAGGAAGTTTTTTCCTAATGTCCAACCTAAAACTCCCTTGCTGCAGTTTAAGCCCATTGCTTCTTGTTCTATCCCCAGAGGCCAAGATGCACAGGTTTTCTCCCTCCTCCTTATGACACCCTTTTAGATAGCTGAAAACTGCTGTCATGTCCCCCTCAATCTTCTCTTTTTCTAAACTAAACAAACCCAATTCCTTCAGCCTTCCCTCATAGGTCATGTTCTCTAGACCTTTAATCATTCTCGTTGCTCTTCTCTGGACCCTCTCCAATTTCTCCACATTTTTTTTGAAATGCGGTGCCCAGAACTGGACACAAGACTCCAACTGAGGCCTAACCAGCGCAGAGTAGAGCGGAAGAATGACTCCTTGTGTCTTGCTCACAACACACCTTAGTTAGTTAAGAGCTTGCCTGAAGCAGCAGCCTAATCAAGCACTGGCAGCCAATTAAGGCCTGCTGGGCTATTTTAAAAGATTTCCCCTCAGGTACAAGGTAGGGGGGAGGGGAGGAGAAGAGTGAAGGACTGAGGAGAGGAAGTACGTTGCTGGAGAGCTGAGGACTGCAAAAAGGAAAGTGTTTGTGCTGCAGCAGGAAAGATTCACTCAGGCACCTGGGAGAAGATACCAGGGGAGCGTTTGGGGAAGTGGCCCGGGGAAAAGGCTGCTGTCTTGGGGCTAGAGGAAAAACCCAGCAGTTGCTGCTACTTAAGGTCCCTGGGCCGGAATCCAGAGTAGCGGGTGGGCCCGGGTTTCCCCCAACTCTCCCCACACACTGAAAAGTCTGCTTCTGGAAAGGAAGGCCAGGATTACGGAGGGTTTTCCCTCTGGTGCTTTGATGTCATTGATGAAAATGGCTTAGTAAGTTGTGACCCTGGACTCTAGAAAAGGTCAGAGGCAGGGTGGAGGGTCCCAGCGAGCCTCTGAGGCAAACAGTAACCGCCCAGAAACGCAGGACCCACAGGGCACGGCCGGAGCCTTGCCACGCTGCACAGAGCCTGGGAGCAGGTGAACTCTGCATGAACGGCTGGTTAACAAGTCCTGTGATTGAGGAACCAGCGGGGGGAGCACACTCCAGAGCCAGGAGATGTTGGGGAGCCCGTTCGCTTACCTGTGAGGGAACCTTTATTTGGGGTTGGAGGGCTGCTGACTTTCAAAATCAGTCAGGGGCTGCACACAAGTGAAAAGCCCCCCTCCCGCCTCTGACTGAGGTGGCCCCCGACTAAGGAGAGCCCCTCCCCACATTGCCCTCATGCCAGAGCCTGGGGGGGCCCAGCCCAGTGGAGTCTGTGTGCGCCAGTCCCACGGTGGGGCAGGCTGGAGCATCAGTCACCTGGTCTTGTAGAGTGAGGATCTCCCCATTCCCACCTCTCTGCCTGCTGCCTTCTCTCCCGGGGTGAGGCTGAGAGCTGCTTAACTTGCCTCCAGAGTGCAGGGCCCGGGCTGCTCATTTCTGCAATCCGCTGAGCTCCTTGCCAGGCTGGCTAAGGTCCTTGGGGTCATTCCTGCCCCCTTACGGCCTCTGTTACCCTTCTGCTCCGTTCTTCAGGGTCCAAGGGCAGGAAATCATCAAGGTGCAGTTTTTCCCAAGTCATGGCCGGGCGATAGACGGGAGCGAAAGGGCCGATAAGAGCAGTGGTTGGAATCTCTCGGGGCGATTCCTGACAGTCAGCAGGGATGGCATCTTGCTCTACTGGAGTGACTCGTTCAAGCTGCTCCGCACCGTCCAGGTACCTGGCGGGTGAACTGGGCCGGGCCAGAGAGCTGGGTTCCCCCTCCTCCACGTAATGCAGGGTCCGACCGTTCCCAGCGCATGTGGCCCTCTGTTTCCCCCTAAAAACGAGGCTGATGTGGCCTCCCAGGGGGCTCTGAGCCCGGGTCCCCTCAGAGCTCAGATTCACAGTGTAGACATACCCTAACCTGCGCTCCGTCTGTGCGACGGGCTTTCCTGCTGCCGCGGACACCCACAGTCTGGTTTTGCCCATCGGAGGGAGCATTCCCAAGTCTGACAGGTCACCTTTGTCAGTGCTGTGCTGGAGGCTGCTAACGTAGCGCTGAGGGGATGTCAAAGCCCGTTCGTGCGGCTTGCCTGCACTCCCCAAAACCCTGCTGTTGAGGGAGTCGAAGGGGAGAATGAACCGAATATCCTGCCCTAATTTCCCCGGAGAACCTCCTTAAACAGAAGCACCTGGTCTCAGCACAAGTTTCGGTCTGTATGCTGAGTTTTCTCTTTTTATAAACTGCACATGAGATAGTGAGTCAGGGCTGAGAACCACAGGGCAGGACCAGTTAGACCCTTGAATCGCTGCATCTTTCTACCATTTCAACAGTAGAAGTCTTCTGGTGTGTCTAGACTACAGGGTTTTTTCGAAAGTGGCCTTTTTTCGAAAAAACTTCCCCTGCATCTAGACTGCTGCCGCGTTCTTTCGAAAGTACGCAGCAGTTTTTTTCGACCATGGGAAACCTCGTTTTGCGAGGAATAACGCCTTTTTTCAAAAGTGCTCTTTCTACGTAATGCAAACTGTGCTTTTTCGAAAGAGCATCCAGACTGCCTGGGTGCTCTTTCGAAAGAGCGGCTTGGTTTTTCGAAAGTACTGGTTGTAGTCTAGATGCCCTTTTTTGAAAGAGGCTTTTTCGAAAGTTGTGACGTTGGGGGGGGGGTACCTTGCTGGTGGTTATGCTGGGCTGTGGGTGACTTCCACTGGCTGCTGCCTGTAGCACCGCCTAGCAGGGCAGGAAATGAGTCATTATGCGAAGGGGGCTCCAAACCTGTCTGACCAGCTACCCCTGAGGGAGAGAAACAAAGGAAGGTAGAAAGCTGGCCCTGTCTGGGTGTCAGGTCTGGAAGAGAATTAGCTTCTGTCTGGGAGCATGGAGGAGACAGCCTAGGAAAAGGGGCTGGAATTTAGGGGCCCAGTCTCCCCATCTCAAGGGGGGCTGAGGCATCCTAGCCCAGTTCCTGTAACTGGATTACATCTGTGCTGTGCTGTATCCTGGAGGAGCAATAAACTCCCTCTATTCTACTGGCTGGGGGGCTGTTCCGGCCCCAATGTGCCATCACAAAAGTCTCTTTCAAAAAAGTCTCTTTCGAAAGAGGCTTGCAGTCTAGACGTAGCTTTCGTGTTTAAAAGTCGGGGGATCCGATTCAGGGTGGAAAATACTAGAGCTGCTGCAGGCTTAGAGGGAAATTCCCCTTAGGTCAGAGAGCAAATTCTGATCGCTTCCATCCTTACCTAGTGATGGACGGCAGTGTTTTCTGATGTGAGCTTTGTGGGATTTTCAGCTCCCTTTGGGTCACGTGAGTTTTCAGTGCAGGCCTCCTCTTCTACGCAGCTTGACCAGTCTGGACGCCGGCCCGGTCATCAGATGTGGGTCATCGACATGCTGTGTCTGTCTAATATCAACCTCTTGGCGATAGCATCCACTGACCAGATGATTGGTAAATAACAGCCGATTGCAAAGCTCTGGGCTGTACGTGCCTTGCCGCTGACTGGAGTGAGCGTGTCGGCCTGCCTTGTTGGGGGGGTCGTAGCGTCTCTGTAATCTGATTTCCCTTGTCCGGTGACATCTGTCCCCGACATCCCTGTAGGTGTGCCCGGGGGAGAGGCAGGGCCCCCGCACTGAGCAAGTCCTCCCCTGGCCTTCCCAGAGCGTCTGGAATCCGCAAATGAGCTAGTGGTGCACGCAGATATCCCCCAGTTCGGTACCACTCAGTTACTCATTTCTAGAGCAGCCTGCAGTGACAGCCCCTTTGGAGCACTCACAGCTCCCTCCGTGTGCTCAAGCTCCCAGAGGCTTGGGAGGGGAGGGGAAGAGCAGGGACCAGGGATGCTCGGCAGGGGGCCGGGCAGGGCAGCTGTGGAGCCCTGCGTCTCAGAGCCAGGACGGGGGTGCTTAGTGCTTTCCTGTGGGGCTCCGCTCCTGGCCCCCAGCTGTGGGGCTCCACAACTACCTTGCCCCTTCTCTCCATTTCCCCTGTGCCCGCTCCCGCAGTGGAGCCCTGTGGTTGGCAGCAGTGGAGGGGCCAGCACTGACTTCCCTGGTCCAGCAAATTCCCCGGTTCAGAACCAGTCAGGTCCGGAGGATGCCAGACCAGGGAGGTCCCACCTGTCCATGTTTGGTGACAGGCCTGTTTGCCTGGTGGGATGTCTGAACATGAATGAACATGATGGGTTCAAAAGGGCATGGGCCCCCCACTCTCATCAAGCTCTTCTTGCTAATTTTGGGACTCCTGGAATCTCTCTCTCTCTCTTTTTCCGGTCACACAGAATTCTTTGATATCAGTGGCAACAAATGTGACCGGCTCTTCTCCTTCACTGAGCTGGACAGCTGCGCTACGGCCTTGGATTACTGGTAGGTGACCAGCAATGAGTAACCGGGTGGCGCCGAGTTGGGGGATATGGAGGTACACGCAGGCCCTCTGCTGGGAGGAGAGAGAACTGCTCGCTGAATCACAGCCCGTTTTGGCTGTCTACGCTGCGGTTTTTTTGCAGAAGAGGAAATGCAAATGCCACGCTCATTTGCATATCATCCCATTCTTTTTGCAGAAGAGGTTTTGCGGCTCAAGCCCCTCGATGTTTGAGGAATAAGGGATTGTGCGAAAAAGGGAGCTTTTCCAACTAATGGCCACGTCTACATGGGGCTTTTTAGTGGCAAAACCTCTTACCTAAAAAGAATCGGAAGATATGCAAATGAGTGTTCCATTTGCATATCCTTTTCCGCAAAAAAAGTGCACTGTAGACATAGCCTTAGGGCATGACCCAGGCTCTTTAGAAAGAAGAGATCCGAGTTCTAGACCAATGCTGCTGTGAAGCTTTGAGGGGCCACCGTACATATTGTAGTGACCATGGCAAGTTGGGAGAAGCCACCGATCTGCCACGTTGTTCATTCTCTTAATGAACATAGTGAGACTCTCCTCGTCTACAGCTTGACCCTCTCTAGTCTTGCACCCTCGGGACCTGACTGGTGCCGAACGAGAGAATTTTCTGGACCCACGGGAGGTCAATATTGTCTGGCAGCGTTCCCAGCACTTCGCCTGCTTACTGAGCTGTGAGAGGACATGTAGGGGTAATTTACCAGGACAGAACACTGAGAGCCAGGACTGGTGGCTGTAAACAAACTTTATGGGACCACGGGAAACTCGGCCTCACCCATGAACAATGGGTACCTGGTTAACTCAAATCATTCTGGACAATGGAGAGTTCTGGTCGGGAGAGGTTCACCCCGTATTTCACTAGTAAATAATGCAGGGAGAGGAGTATATGGATGTTCAAGTGTATTCTTTTGTTTTGCACACACTCCCTTTTCAACGGCTTGTGAACCTTTTTAAAAACAAAGTGTTTTGCAAGGGGCCTGCGCTCTGTGTGGCTCTCCCAGGAGGTTTGACGTCCCTCCAGGAACTTAGTGACTTTCCCAGAGGACTCCATGTCCTTTGTCACTGTCTCCAGGATGCTGCTTGTGCGGTCATGCATGCCAAAGGGACACTGACTGTTCTGGACAGAGAATTATTCTTGAGTTTCTCTGTGTTCATGGGACTTTAATGAACATTGGAGACTATCAAAAGTGTGGCCTAGAGGACATCAGTTGTATTTTCTCACTATATTTAGGATGCCTTTTTGCAGTGTTATCATTGGGTAATCCCTGGAGTTTGTTTTATGACATGTATCCTTGAAACTTTGTCAAGAGGTCCAAGTTTGGGATTGGCACTTTTATTAATTCAAATGTATGCTGCAATGGATACAGCAGTATTTATTTATTTATTTGCAACTGTGTATCATGGAGCAATCTTTCAGCTTTCAGAAATTATCTAGGGGGAAAAGTTTTCAGACAGTCAGGAAAAAAATGCTTACAGAGAAACGACACGCCCTGTTCTGCGGTGTTCTCAGTGCATGGCTAAGGTATCTAGGTGTGTATGTCTGTGGTTTTTTTTTTTTTTTTTTGCACACACACCCAGTGTGAATCAGTATGGCTCTGACTGTTTGACTCTTGTTTATGCCAATGGCAACTCTGGCCACAGATTATTCTGTTACCTGTGTTTGGGGGTTCTTTTATTAGAATTTATTCAAATGCTTTTCCCTCTTTACATCCCTGTCTACGTTGTTTCGTTCATCTCTAAGGTGCTGCAGGACCATTCGTTGTTTAAGTTCTCAGGCTCTCCATGTCTCGTATATGCATGCTCAGATCGGCACTTAGCTGTGTAAGGTGGGCGCTCACTGGTGTCTGGGCCAACTGGAGCTTGACTAGCCAATTAAGCTGGCCTTCTTTGAAAATGGGGATCTCTGTGTACCCCATTAGTGTTCTCGTTTAATACATGCCTGGGGTCAGTTCTGTGTGTTTTCCTTTCTTCTCCAGGACAGATGGGTGCAAAGGAGTGTTTTGTGTCGGCGATATGAAAGGAAACATTCTGGTCTTCACCTCGCTGGATGTTCTAGCCAATGGGCTCTTCAACGTCTATCCCTATATTGCTAAGCCAGGTAGGGACGTGTGTCAGCAATGCTGGGTCAAGCCCATCCTGTCTCCAGTACACTAGCGAGATGGGTCAGCTTGTCCGAATTGCGCTTCCTTGAGGGAGAGTGGGGGTTACCTGCTTTACGGGCCCCGCTGCGTGACGGGCATGACTCTCCGAGCTTTGCCTGGCTTCGGGCGCCTCATGTTCCTGCAACTGGTACCCCGAGGGACTGTCCAAAGTTGCACCAGTTTGGGGTGGAGTCCAGGGCTCAGCTTACTCCTTCTGGTTCCCCCAGGCAGGACTCGAGCTGCATCATTTTGGTTTTGGAAAAAAATCTTCTGTTGCAGATTTTGCAAAACCAGAATCGTCCCTGTCCCTCTGCCTCTGTGTCCCAGGTTACCATGTTTGCTAATCTCTGGAGAGCTGCGTATAGATTGCACTGACCGCGTGTAGCTAGATACTGGCCTGGCAAAGCTTTGCATTAGAATCATAGGACTGGAAGGGGCCTCGAGAGGGCATCGAGTCCAGCCCCCCGCCCTCAAGGCAGGACCAAGCTCCGTCTACACCATCCCTGACAGATGTCTATCTAACCTGTTCTTAAATATCTCCAGAGAGGGAGATTCCACCACCTCCCTTGGCAATTTATTCCAATATTTGACCACCCTGACCGTTAGGAATTTTTTCCTAATGTCCAATCTAAACCTCCCCTGCTGCACTTTAAGCCCATTACTCCTTGTCCTGTCCTCAGAAACCAAGAGGAACAACTTTTCTCCTTCCTCCTTGTGACACCCTTTTAGATATTTGAAAACCGCTATCATGTCCCCCCTTAATCTTCTTTTTTTCCAAACTAAACAAGCCCAGTTCATGAAGCCTGGCTTCATAGGTCATGTTCTCTAGACCTTTAATCATTCTTGTCGCTCTTCTCTGTACCCTTTCCAATTTCTCCACATCTTTCTTGAAATGTGGCGCCCAGAGGAAGTTTGGTTTCTTCCTGCTTGTTTGATTTCTGCACTGGGATTCTCTTCAGTGTTCTGGGGCACAGAGGGGCCCATTCTAAGTATTTCCTCCCACGTCCAGGGCTGTCCTGGTGGGAATGGAGGAGAGGCAATTTGCAGAGAGTCCCTGAACCTGTGGAATTTGAGTGGCACCGCAGCCTGGCACACAGGGTCACCATGCGGCTCATGGCTAGCCTGGCTGCCCTCCGACCCTGGCCCCCAGTCATAATGCCAGGCCTGAGGAGCTGTGCCTAGCAGGAGCAGACCAGAGCCACTGCATAGCGTGGTGAGCGCAGCGCGGGCTGGCTTTCCAGTCTGCCCTTCCCACAAGGCTTCGTGCGTCTCCATGGTAACTCTTATAAGGGTGGGTGGCTCCATTTCGGATGCTAGGCCAGGCCTCCCTGGCCTGCGTGGTCCTTCCTCTCGTGAGACAGCAATTCCAATAAACAGTGGGCACGCCAGGTGCCTTTGCGGGGGAATCCCTCTCCCCACGGCGTGCACTGTGTAAAGTCCTTGTGTGGAAGGGCTTTGCAGGCTGGGCAGGCTCCTTTTGTTAGGCCGCTCCCAATGGCTGGCCTCCGATCCGGGCAGGGTAGGACTCTTTGGACAAGTCCATCCCACTGCAGAAGTAAGGCGAGTCCTGGCTCCACCCATTTCTGGGGCCTGGGAGAGCACTCGCAGGAAGCCCTAATCAGCCCCTCGGGCGCGCTGAGGGAGTGTGGAATTGGGACCTCATGACCTAAAACTCTTACGCTCGCTGCCTCCAGTACCGAGAATGGACCCCCCCGAGTTACCTCGCCCTACAGCACGGCACTGCTAGCGGTTACAGGGCCTGCTTTGGCATCCCATGCTGCTCCCCTGGGCGCAGAGGGGCTGGGGCCAGGTGTGTCGCCGCCGGCGTCCCTGGGGCACCCTCTTCTCGCACCAAGAGCCTCGGCACCCTGCCTCTCGGGTGGGGAAGGATGGGGCACCAAAGGCTCTCCAGAGGTGAGAGGGGCGTCGGCAGCTGGGGCGGCTTTGGGCAGAGCCAAGCAGCGATCTGTATTTCAGCAAACGCCGCGCCCACAGGCCAGGGCTCCCGCTAAGACCCTCCATCCACGAGCCGGGGGAGTTTTGTCTTGTGCGCCCCTATTGAGGTCACATGCGCTGGTTCGGGTACGCCACTGCGGCAGCCATGTTATAAACCTCTCCCCTTTCCCTCTGCTGCCGTGTCCCCCACCCTCTCCCCGCCCCCTCTGCTCCCCTGTTGCCCTCCATCCCTCACCCACCTCTGCTGTCTGACTCTTGCCCTTCTCACTCCCCTCAGCCCTCCTGAGACCTACTGCTCTCCTCATCCTCTGACCCCTGCAAAGGCCCTTCCCTTCCCCTGTGCCCACCACTCCTCTTGCCCCCCTCCCCATCCCCTCTCCTAACACCTGCCCTGCCTTTCTCCTCTTCCCTCTGGTGCCCATCCTGTCCCTCTCCTTCCTTCCCCATCCCATGTCTGCCCCTTCTGCTTCACCCCCAAAATCCCCCTGACCCCTGCACCTTCTCTTACTCTGTACCCTCCTGGTGCCCCCCTCATTCCCTCACTGCCCCTGCCCTCCCAACACTGGCCCCCCTGCCCTCTTTCTCCCTGGTGCATGCCCCTCTGTGCCCTCACACATGACTTGCTCTATCTCCCACTTTCCTCCTGTCCACCCCACCTTTCAACCCCTCTTCTCCGGGCATCCACGCCTCCCCTCCCCTCTTCTCTTCCTCCCTCTTGCCCCCATTGCCCCTCCTCTTCCTCTCCCAGCATCACCCTGTCCCTTCCCGTCTCTCACCCCCCACTGACACCTTCCCATTTTCCCAAACCTCTGCTCCTCCTGCCCTTTCCCTTCATTGTCTCCTCTTGGACCCCTGGCGTTGGTCTCTCTCCTCTACCCTGCCCCGTGGTGCCTGCCCCTTTCTTCTCCTGCCTCAGCCCCTCCTCTCCCCTCAGCACAAGCCCCCTCCTCTCCTCACTCCCCACCTGCCCTTTAGTTCTCCCTCTGCCCTTTCCTTCACCTCCTCCTTTCCTTATACCGGCACCTGCTGGGAGGAGCAGCATGGCGGGCAGCTGCCCTGTGTGCTGGGCCTGGAGCCAGGGCCATGGTGCTATTTTTAGTACCACAGTCCTGGCCCCAGTAGCCATCATGCAGCTGCAGCCCCAGCTGCTCTCAGGGGCTGGGCCATGCAGTGGGTGGCTGCCGTGCATGCCAAGGCTGGAACCGGCCACGGTGCTATTTTTAGTACCGTGGCCCAGGCTCCAGCTCCAGCAGCTGCCACTCAGACTGTGTGATGGCTGCCCAGCTGCTCCTGGGGTGGGCAGTCACCCACCACGCAGCCCTGCCCCCGGCTCGGCTGAGGGGGTAGGTAGGAATGAAATTCTTGGTGCGCACCTTGCAGGGAACCCTGCCATAGGCTCGTCTCAGGTCTCGCATGGGGAGGCGCAAAGAGCGCGCTACATAATGGACAAACAGCTGATGAAACATTACCTTGCCGTGACTGCCTGTCTCTGAGATTCATTGTTCATGTGTTCCATGGTGCAGCTTCCTTCCCTGCTTCCACTTGCCCTGGATTGCGTAGGGGGACGGAACCGAGGGGCTGCTGGCCCTGCTCTGCCCTGTGCCCTCGGGAAAGGAGCAGCAGGACACGCCGGACACACGTGTGGCTGCAGTGAATGGCCCAAAGGCTGGTCTCAAGTTGCGGCAGGGGCCGAATGTACGTGGACAAGCCGCCTCAGAGCCAGTTCCTGCCACAGGCGTCACGTTTCGGTTTTGTCTCTGATCCACGGGTGGGGCCACACCGGGCTCATTTCTCTGAACTTTGAGGGACTGGATCAAATGTGACCTGGACCCAGATCATCAGCCCTGTTTTAGCCCCTGGCTTGTCTGAATGCACGTGCGAACATTGCTCCCAACGTAACTAGCGAACGCTTTAACCCTTGCAGTGCCACGCTTCGGAGCTATGACCATACCATCTAAGCCTTCCAGGCATCAGTGAACGTGCCTGTGACTAGCTCTGCTACACGTTGCATCCCAGGGCACGGACGGGGTGATGCTGCCTTAGGGGCACTTCAGCACTGTGACGTAGTGGGGGTACTTGCTGGGCTGTGGTGACCCCTGCTGTCTGGAGCAAGACCCAGCAGGGAAAACCTCGCTAGGCAGAGGTAATGCCAAACTTGTTGAACCAGTGGCTAGACACCCCCCATGGAGAGGAACAAAGGAAGGTGGAATGCTGCCCTGACTGGGGGGGCAGGGCGGCAAGGGAATTTAGTTAGTTACTGTGGGAGAGCATGGAGGAGAGCCTAGGAGAAGGGGCTGGAGTTTAGGGGCCCAGTCTCCCCCATCTCAAGGGGGCCTGAGGCATCCTAGCCCAGCTCTGTGACCAGACTACATCTGTGCTGTGCTGTATCCTGGAGAGGCAATAAACTTCCTCTATTCCACCGGCTGGTGAAGTCTGTTTGTGCCATTTCGGGGTGCAGGAGACGGGGAACCCCCAACGCGCCGTCACACTGGTGTCAGGGGTGGGATGCACTGCACCCCGTGGATGGAGCTTCCAGCGGCAAGTGACAAGGCGCAGTAGAAGCAAGAGCCCTGGAGCCAGGCGTGCTGGAGACAGAGCGAAGCGGTTCCTGGGAATCGTGGGGCGCTGCAGCACTAGACTGGTGAGTCTGCACCAAGGGGACCAGCGGGCAGATGGCCTACGCCC